GTTGGCCACTGCAAGGAGTTGAACAAGTTGTGTCGACAGATCCGCAGTGAAGAGGTTGAGTTGCAGGTGTGGCCAGTGAAGGGATCATCAAGGATTCATGGAATTCCTGACGCAGCCTTCCGTAACAACAGCGACAAGTCTTCGCAGAGAGCAATGACTATTTCTATCGCAGATGAAAGGGTCAAGAATCGGAGAGACACCCGAGGCTCATTGGTCTTCTTCGAATCTACCAAAATCAAGAGAACGACCCTTAGCACAACAGTCGCTGAGCTTTCTGCAATGATGAAGTGCTTTGGTTACCTGTCAAATGCTTCGTGGTTTGCGGAAGGATATTAGCGGTCTTGATGCCGAGATTCACAATGCCGAGATTCACATGCGAACCGACGCTAACAATCTCGCTTCTACTGCTTCTGCTACTCACTCACCCGAGCAGCAGGAAACCATTCACATGATTGCTCAGGGGCTATTGCCGATCTTTCTCATGTTCGAACCGAACATGGTTTGTCTGATTGTCTCACGAAACGTAGCGCCAATCCTAGAAACCTCCTGAATTCTGTTCAGTGGTTGGGGGAAATTGATTCACATCCTCCTTTTCGGTTCATGATTGAGCACAAAGCTTTGTTGAACGCCTGGCTCCGTAAGGAGTATGCGGTTTTAAGACAAGTGCAACATGTCATGTTCACGCAGGAGCGTTTGTGAGCCATGTGCTGCTTTATGCGCGAGCTGTCAGTGCAATTCAGTGCATGTGCGTTTCTTGAAGAGTTGTTGGCCTCTTGTTAAGTTCGTGCCTGCATTGCTCAAATCAGCTGGTTCAAAACTTCAGTGAGAAAGTAGCCCACAACTTCCACTTCTGTTACCAGCATGGCTGCGGCAGGACACCTCGATGGATACTGGAAGCTCTTCTCAAGAGGAGGCACCAGTGCAAGTCAACTGGACACCGAACATGGGTTGCAATCTTCGTATTGACCTCGACTGTCAACTCTGGTGTCCCGGACTATGCCATGTATCTGAAGAGCGCGTCCGGAGAGCCATGCCGTAAACTCCGATCAGCTGGACATGACGGCGTGGCTATCTACTCTCGTGGGCTGAATCGCATCTTCCCGAAGGATGCACCTGTGGCTTCCCTCAAGCCGGAGGGTGTCCCTCGACACCCTGGACACAAGGATGTTGCGGCATACTTCCTATATGGGGAGACAGCCGTAACAAAGATCCTTGAAGGACAGCTGGCATTTTTGCACATGTCCGGCGCTATGAGGAGAACCACCCGGTGACACACCTCCTGCAAAAGAACCTCATCTGGAAGCACGAGTTCTTCTGCTGTTTCTTGGGCTGCCTGGATTCGAATGGCTTGGAGGAGATGGAGCATGGAGGTGTCTCTGGAAGGCATGCAGCGGCACCAGACGCCCCTTTGACTGGCACTGGAGGAGTCGAGGAAGTCCTCATGGCCAACTCTGACGGCCGTTTCAATATCTGGATCGTTTCTTCGATTGGGAGTTTGACATTGGGATCAGCGCCATCCAGGGACACAGCAGGATCCCGGAGCAGGTGTCAGAAGCCGCCATGGGGGAGCGACTGACTCTGGAGCGATGCCACCAGCTGGGCATGATCTTTCAGGCGTCGGAAAATTCCAATTTTGAGAGTATCCGACAGAGGGCCTGATCTTGGAGGCCAGGAAGGCTTCGTGGCAGAGGCACAGTGACAGAAGAGCCATCCACATCGTTTATGCGGATGGAGAGGTTTCTCCGGTGCCTGGGACACTCATCAAGTACGGCTTAGCTTGACTACGCGAGCTTCTTGGTCCACGGCCATGAGTTGTATCTCACCGACAACGGCGTGGTACTCTCATATGTTGATGTGGCGCCGATGTACCTGACGTTCCACTACAGGTTACCACATGAGAAGGATCCTGGAGCAGAGTTCTGCTGAACCTTTTCTCAGACCGAGGCACCCGCTGATGTGGGCTTGATGCGGCAGCTCTTCAAAAGCTCATCCGTGAGAATTTGCTCAAGGAAGAGAAGGAGCGCCAGGCCACGCAGTCTGAGGGGTCTACCAAGTACGCCTACGAGGCCGGTGATACAGTTCACGGCTGAGTTGACGCGCACAAGGAGCAGGAGGAGCTCAACGAGGTCCTCCGGAAGGCCAGGACGAACCCGTGGCCTCTTTTCGGCCACAGGCTTCTGCATCGCACCGACTCCAGCGGCCAGCGGATGTCTTCTACGGGCATCCTGGATGAAACATCCTCTCTCCGGATACTCTCTGCACTTCTTCCTCAAGGTTTTTGTGCTGGAGAAGGTCCAGGGGAACTATTTGGTAGATGGACCGCAAGCCTAAGGTGTATACAGCTGGATATGTCAGCCCGTATGAGAAGCTCACCAACAGACACCCAGGTGCACGGCATTGCGGACATGCTCTCGGAACTGACAAGGGCAGCATCGATGGAGTTCCGGCCAAACATCGGCGAGATCGGCTTTGATCACAGAATGCTTTCCTCAAGGAAAGGGATGTGATGTGCACCGTGAGATCCAGTGTGTCAAGGAGGACTTCCCGATGCTCATCTCGGACATTGCTGAGGCGTACGCGCCTGATTGCTTCAGCTACACTCAGAGGAATGCTCAGAATGAAGAGATTCGACGAAAGTACATGGTGCGAACTCCTGAAGGGTATGGTCTTCATGATTCTCCACTTCGACAGCCTTTCAATGCGCCGTACATCCTCACCTGTTTGGGGAGATCTTGAAGGATACCGAGCAAAAGGACTTCAAATCTCGTTTTGCGAAGAAAACGAAGCCCGACCTTCTCGCGTATGAGAAGCTCTAGGAGAAGAGGGAAGCCGAACTTGAGGGGCTCTACACTCGTCCATACGGGGACATCGCTGTGGAGGAAGTCCTCGAGAAGCTCCCTGGTCCACAGGTTGAGGAGATCGTCGAGCCCGAGAAGGACACTCCGATGGACACTTCCGAGGTCGCAGCAGAGACAGCCGACGTGCCAATGGGCGAGATGGCTGACTCAGAAGTGCCCGATGTGCCGATGGAGACTGACCCTCCGGAGAGGCATCTGGAGCAAAGGTCGAACCTGCCGAAAGCTCTCCTCATGGAGAGGTATCGGAACCCAAAGATGAGCCCGTGGGTCAAGCGGAGGAAGCCAACGACGACGATATGGCAAAGGAAAGCTCATCTCAGGATGAGGCATCCAACATGCCGGACATCTCCCGAGAAGGATGATGAAAGTGAAATCCACGATCAAGGCACCTGGGGGAAATGCAAGAACGTCGCCGGTCCGGAGTGGTCCAAGGCCGCCAAGGATGCCGAGGCCAGGAATGAAGAAGCCTTCGACAGTCTTGAGGGCGCCAAGGAGAAGATTGGTCTCGTCGACACCGACGAGTACAAGAACTTCCATGCAAATCTCCTCAAGATCGAGAGGTCAAGTTCTATGCGATTCCTTGCGAAGCAAAAGAATGGTTATGGCTACAGCGGCCTTTACCATACCAGCATTCGCGACCATGATTACGATCCTATTGGTGCTTTCAAGGTACTGTCTGTCTCCGTCCGCGTCTCTATATGCATGCGTGTCTGTATGTGCGCACTTTTATTACTATCTGCTCCAAGCAGTTTATCCGGGTCATTGCTCGCCCACTACCGGGGCACCCGCTTCTGCAGCCAGGATGTGCATTCCGGACGGTAGCAGAAAGCCAGAAAAACGCCAGAAGACTGGGGTCGAGAAAACTAGCGGACACAGGGCCTGCTGCGGACGTGTGCAGTTGTGCGCTTATCCAGAGATCTGTGATCAGAACTGTTTTCATTCAACTCGGCATCCTCTGATGAATCTAGAGGGTATACCTACATGTTTGGTAGAATGTATTATCACACATATGATACAATGCTTCTGTGCTGCCACACATCGTCAATTCAATCGCAACCATCAGTGTGTTCGCGGAGACTTGGTCAAGAGGCGTCGAGACAGCATTTGAAGCGATGGGTGGGACGATCCAGACTAGTACTGTAATGATAAAGGATGATAAAGGTGCAGTCACGCTACACTGGCACCAAGTCAGCGCAATGCCAGTCAGAGCCATCATGGTCACCTACAAGCAGCGCCATGACAACGAAGGCTATGCGTCCTGATTATGACCCTTCCGAACTCTCCGAGCTCTTGGCCGGGACCACATTGCCACTCCTGCTCAAGACAAGCAAGTGAGGCAAGTGCATGCACGAGACATAAGTGCACAGGACTGTGCACGCCTGTGTTCGAGGCAAGCTGAACCTCGTGGCTCGGGTCTCTCATTTCAATAGTTTCCGACCTATCCCCGCAGTCCATGCACATGCTCATCGCTGCACCAACACCGCTAGAGCACCGGGCGTTCTCCGCGACATCAGTGCATGTGAGCCTGTGTTAGTCTGAAATGTGGACTCTCTGACGTCCCAAGCGTCGATCAAATTACATGGAACAATCAAGCGACAGCCAAAGTTTGAGGCAAGCACCCAGTTGAGGGGCTTTCAGCATCAAAGGAGGCCTCGCCGAAGATTCAAGTTGAAAGCGCGTCAACCGCTGGGATGATCTGGGATGCACTGTCCAGCATGTGGCAGGTGCTTGCGTGGGCGCGTGCAGCGAGCTCGGCACTGGAGTAGGGCCGAAGCGGGGTTTCGGCCTGTCGCCCCCTTCGCGAGGATGGAGGACCTTGGCGGCAGGCGCGTGGACAAGCGAACGGGCTGTACTAGGCTTGCGAACACATGTGGCAGTCAGAGGTTTTAGTCATTCCTGTCCATCTCCTGTCGTCTCGGCTATGCACTCGGCAAAGGCGGCTGGGACATCAAGCCATCTGAAACTGGTGTCACTGTAAGAGACAATGATATCCCACCACACCCGAAGCCGAAGAGAAGGCCACAATCAAAAGGTATCAAAAGCCTGGCGGCACCATCCAGACAGAGTCGCTACGGCGTCTGCTTGCGCACTCTCAGGACTCTCTCAGGCAAGTGGGCATCGGATGCTGCAAGGCAGGTGGCATCATTTGATGTACCTGTTTGCATGGCGGGGTTGTATCCGGGAGTGGTTGTCTTTTTAATGCATCCTGAAACGGGTGGATTCTGAGGGCGCATTTTGCCCATCTCGGCGACAGCCGCATCCAGAGCATCGGCCAATGCGGGGTCCACATTCTGCTTGCACTTCACAGCCGCTAACATCACCTCGGAAGTGCGGGGCTGGAAACTCACCGCACTCTGCAGGGTACTGACCTGGTGGTGGCATTGAAGTGCTGCGATAAAATCCGCCTGCACGCATGCCGTCTCAAACATCTCAATTACCATCAATTACCCTCCCTGCTCTGCTGCTCTGCCGGGTTCGGCCTCGCTGGAAAAGGGTGTCTTTGGATCACTTACCGGCTTGACACGCTGGCAAAGGCAGTATTCTGACCTTAAACCACACTAGATGGGCTTGTCCTGTCTCACTGCCCGGCTGGGCCCCCTCACTGGAACAGGGACAATATGAGGCCAGCGCACCAAGCTGATGATCTTGCCAGCATGCTCTTCCTCGCGCCACCAACGGCACATGACTCAGGCAGGCGCGGTCTGCTGAATGACCGGAGTCCTTTGTGTTCACCCAGCGGGTCATCTGGTTGATGTTCAACGGTGTCATGTTGGCCTAAGCGAAATGAAGTCCGCAGTCCGGCATGACAGCACCCGCGCCCAGGCCATCGGCTGATAGCTCCCCGATCTGCACCATGGCCTGGTTCAAGTCAGAGCTTGTGATCGGGGCAGATGAGGAGCGCGACGTTTTACGCTCTCGCAACATCTCGCAACTCGGACAAGCCAGACGAGGTCTCTCGGTGCGGCGTTTCGGGTTCAAGGATGGTATGGGCATAGGGCTTTCCTGCGTATCATACGGCTGTGCGTGGCAATGTCTTGACATAGCAGTAGCGAGCTGTGACAGCACCACAAGCTGTTGAAGCGTCGCTCAGGCCTTCTTGATGGTGGCAGCTGCTTCCTTCATATCGGCCACGAGCTTGGGATCATCGAAAATGCCTTTCACAACGTTGACGCGTGGTGTGCTCAGAACAAAACCTGCCACAACAGCTAGACTAGGCTCTCGGAGAGTGCTTTCAAAAGGTAGTCCCGGTCGGCGATGGCCTGTATCACCTACATATGTGAATAGCAGCTTCCGCAACGTCTCCAGAAATCGTAGACTGTCGAATTGATGGCTCCGCCCACTCAATGCCCGCATATGTCGAGGCTGTGCGGTGAAAACAACTTAGAATTCATGCGCATAAGCATTAGATTATGCGCCACTTGAGGTGGCCCTTCGGCCACACACCATGGACTCAATGAAGCCTCCAACTAGAACCTAGCAATCCCTTGCGAATTAATTCATGGACAGGTCTTGCACTAGTCTTGCTATCTCTCTGCCGGACAAGTCTATGCTGACAGCGCAGCCTCGGAGCTCCGAGGGCCTGGCTGGCCAGAGCCCTACAAGTACCGTAAGCGCGGTAAGCGGGATCCCCGATCCCTGAGGCCCTATGAGGCCCTGAAGCCTTTCCATCGCCTCTCCGCCTTTGGCGTCCGAGCTGCCGCAGGGAACCTGACAGTGGCCACCGCGCAGACGAAGCACCAAGTGCAAGGTGGATTCCTGGCGAAATTGCGGCGTGCATTCCAAGAAAAGGTCCTGCGAAAGACAACAAGAGCGCCTTCTGGATGTTGTAATCCGACAGTGTGCGGCCATCCTGGCAAGTGCAAGGGCCCCCCGGCCCCCCCGTGTGCGCCGATCATCGACGATCGTCCTCGAGCTGCTTCCCCGCAAATATGAGCCGCTGCCTTGCGGCTATCGCAAGAAAGCACTCCAATCATTCACAACTCCCACATCCTCCCACGTAAGCTTCCCACTGGTCAGGTGGGATACCTTCCTTGCGAGCGTGGCAGCTGCTTCTGACACGATTGCACAGCATGATCAATGCTGGAGCATGGCATCATGACTCTTCATGCAAAACCGCGTTTAATCACGAGCATGGCTCCTTGTCTTGGATCTTAGCCTGTGTGACAGTGGCGCAATGTGGCGCACGCTGGGCACATCGACGCAACTCGCCGAGCAACTCTGTATAATTCAGTTCAACGTGTCGCCTTCACGTTGTCGATGGTGTCAGAGGCCTGCATGCCAGATGGCAGACTTTCTTGCCACAGCCACAGCCCAAGAGTGGGCTTGGCAGGGAGACAAAAGGAAGCTGTTGGCGGACAGCTGACTTCGACAAGCGCAAGGCCGCTCGATGCTGCCTAAGTGCGTTCTATTGCTTGCTTCAAACTTGTGGCTGCGCCAGCTTGCAATCCCCGCTATGCGGACCGAGATGATAATCACAAGGCAGATATCGAAACCTCTCAAGACATCACGGCCTCGACATCCAGTGTGATGGTCTTGCCCGTCAAAGTCTTGACCTGAATAGCAACTGTGTAGGGCCTAAGGCCTGGCAGGCCGTTACGTGAACCAAGGCACGAAGATCTGCATGACAGTCGCAAAACACCGTTGAGGCTGAACTGACGGAGAGCCGCGCTGCAGCCACGAAATGTCTTCAGTAAGCAAGCATCCATGCGTCACACGGACTTGAGAGCATGATGCAAAACAAAGATGCAGCACACCGCGGCAAAGGCCGCGATCCGGCGCTGGCCCAGAGGCTTTTCAGCAGCTGACGTCTCAAAATTCTGGAGCAGCTGACTCAGAATGGCAATCTGTGCGCAGAGAGTCCTCGGAAGTAATTACAAGCTTGTAAGGCTGTTCTGTGTAGCACGAGCAGCTGGAACAAGCGAATCTTCCTCGAAAGTTCTTCCCAGCCTGCTACTCCCATTGTCACATGAACAGCATTTCCTTTTCCTCCGCCAGGTTTTCAGGCTCGTTATGTGCGGCGCCAGGCTTACCGGATACTTCACTGCTTGGCAGCCTCGCGTGCCTGGCGTGCTGCATGAAGTTGGCTCAAAAGAGTGGTGAGGTCGCCGATCGGGTCTACCGCAGGTCTGCAAGCCTTGCAAGCCAGAATAGCCTCAGAGACGGGAAAGTGTTTGAGCAAGTTACGCACTGCAAAGGACCCATGCTGCTGCATTGCTTGCACACCAATTTCTCCCCAAGGAGCAGTCCGGTGATCCATGTTGGCGGCATGCATTACGTACGCCACGCCAGTAGTGCCTGCTCGATGAGCTCCGGCTAAGCAGTGGATCAGAACGCTGTGTCCTACAGAGAAGAAAGCAAAGGCAAGGAGGCAAGGGCTACCAGATTCAACGTGCATGTAACGTTCAGTGACATATTGACATCAGTTCGGTTCTGATGGGATTCCAACTCTCACCATATCATAGGTCTCGATATGTCTGCATGCTCAAATTGTCAAAACGATATCGTTTGGAAACTGCGATCAACTTACATGCAAAAAGCCTGATTGATGGGTCGTGCTGGTCAAGCTCGAGTGAGAACTAGCACAGAAATCCTTGCAGCTTCGGGCGGTATACCACTCCATTCAGAATGAAGTTACAAGTGATACTATTGAGATTCTATTGTTGCAGGACAGATACGTGCGAAGAGGGGGCTAGGCCAGAATTGTCAAGTACGAAGGGACAAGGAGAGGGATGCGCTTAGACGGAGAGTGAGCCTGGCTGCCACATGCGCAAAAGAAAATATGAACACGCAGTTGTACGCAAGGGCGCGGTCAATCACAGTTGCATGCAGCAGATGCAGATTGCGCAAACAGGAGGACAGAAGCCTAAGAAGGATCGCAAGATGGAAGGAATGGAGGCGAGGAAGAGGAGAAGATGGCACTGTCACCCCACGGACGGAAGCGAGTTGGCAGGAAGGTATTGGGTGCTCATCGCAGGGGAGATACCAATCTAGGGTCCCACCTTCCTCAGTCTCTCATGGCCGATGGGCTTCCGGATACTCTGGGGCACAGGGGCTTGCGGAAGTTTCCATTCTGTTGATGACCTGGAAGCATAGGATCACAAGATTTGCTCGGTGATATGTGTTGATTGTAGTGCAGCAGTGCAGTCATCAGATTCATCAGTGCAAAAGAAAAGTGACATGCTGTGGATTCACCGAAATTGGCTCCAAGTCCGCTGCGGCTCGTGTTTCGTGTTCAAGTAGCTTAGATTCTAAGATTGCCCAGCTGTTGTGTCTGCAGAAGAGTTGTGAAGGGCATGTTCCACATATGTAAGCTTGCTCCGCAGGCATGCAGCCCCGGACTTGTGATTTCGGCCTTATGGCTATGATCATATGTACTGGGTGGAGCCCCCGACCCTTGCGAAAAATTTCAAGGGATGGGGCTGTGATGTACATATGGTTTCCCGAGATTTCGGGTATTTGGAAAGCCTCCGGAGAATCCTGCCGAATGCGTCTTAGTCGGTAAGAATGAAGAAACAGTAACAATAGGACAATAAGTAGAGATAGGTTTCGTGCCTCGTCGCCAACAGCTGGGATGCCAGCACAGCTCGGAGCTTGTGGTTTAAGCTTTGGCATGTAAGGGTACGAGAATATCGAGAATGCACATTTGCTTTGATTTTCAAATTTTTAAGGCACAGAGTCTGGCTTGCCAGATCTTCTTTTCCAAACGAGTAACCAACTCTGTGCGCCGGAGCAGTGAAGATGCGATCCCTGAAGAAGACGAGGCAGTAAGCGCTTTAACTATGTTTCACATGAACCACACAATACCGGGGTGTCGATTATGATCAAGGGTTTGGGGTTTCTGGGCCCTTGGCCCAGAGGAATTCGGCGTCAGATTGCGCCAACCGTGGGCGTATTGGCAGAGGAAAAAACTGCTTCATTTCGTTTCTCTGCAGGAAGCAGACTCATGGTTCGGACAGCCGCTGCCTTTACTGCCAAAGTTGGTACCAACCTGGGGTGTATTGCCAAGTAAATTTTGCATGTGAATACACCTTGATTGCCAAGAACCGGCGCGTACAAACCAGGGTTGCCTGTGAATTGAAGGGTCACATGCCTGGTTTGAAGGGTCACGAATCCCCCCATTATGCAAAGCCATGCTTCAGCTGCACGCAAACACCCTTCAATTCGATCCGTTCATTAGCCGCCCAGCTGAAGGGTCAAATGTGTGCATTGAAGTTTCCATTTTGTGTGGAAGCGATGTATGTAGCTCAGCTGTTAGAGATATCAGAAGATCAGGCAAGGTCTGCAACCGGCACCCTTCAATTGCACAAAGCCACCTTTCAGCTGAGTCCATTCATGAGCCGGCCATTTGAAGGGTCTTGGTTGTGTGTTGAAGCATTGTAGCCCACAGACAACGGCTGAGGTGGCGGCTAGAAAAGCCAAGCCAACACATCACAACACCCCAAGAAGCACCACTAAATTAAAAATCTCCCAAAGCTCAACCCAGTGTAGAGTACAGTCCGCAGTGGTTGCAGTCAACAGTAGTCTTGAAACACTTGAGTATTTTCGCAGGTTGCTGTAAAAGAGTTGCGTGAACCTCCCATCGCCATGCCCCTTACTGGTGCCTGCTCTCGAAGGGGTTAAGAGCCCAATTTCCACGCTGTGGCGCCCCGACGGAGTCCTTTCTCAGACGCCGTCGGTGCGCCCACGCTGCGAGCTCTGCCGAGATGGAGGACCAACGAGATGAAGAGGCCAGTCAGGGTGAGACACAGGACGTGCCGGCCCGAGAGGAGACTGGAAGAGGCGATGAGGAGCAAGAGGATGTCCAGATGGACCAGGCTGAGCCGGAAGTTGGCCCGGCAGCGGCTACCCTGGCTGTGGACGAGGAGGAGCTCCATCCTGACTACAGCTCGATGCCAGCACCCGGGATGGTACCGGGGCCAACTGAGAACGAGGAGACTGCTGAGGTGACCCCGGCGGTTTTGGCTTCGGTGAGGACCACCGGAGGAGGAGTGATGGCGGCTGTGGGAGTGTCGCCGGAGTCGCGACGATCGGAGTCCCGACAGTCGGACGACATGCGACTGCAGATGGGCCAGTTGTCGGAGATGTTGCGGACCCTGGTGCAAGGGCAGCAGACGCTGAACAACAGGCTGGAAAGAGTGGAGGATGTGAGATCGAGCCATTCTTGGAGATCTGCGGAGTCGTCTCAAGGACTCGGCTGGGTGGACCGCGCCGCTCTGGATAGGTGGTATGCGGAGGCGACAGCTGCACAAGCTGCCGTCTCCGGCCACCGGGAAGCAGACATGTACATAGGTGGTGATGTACAGGGTTTTCCTAGGAGCCCGGAGCTCCTGAATCCGTGGCTTCGACCGCCGGGATGGTGGACTTCGAGGACTGAGCCTGGGGTAGGGGGTTTAGGGGGTTGTGGTGGTCCCTTGCCTCCGTCTGGACTTGGAGGGCCGTTGCATCCATGGACTTCGATACCTCCCCCTCCGGGCCATCCTTTTCCTGTTCTGCCCCCTCCGCCGTTCCCAGGTCCTTCTCCGTGGTCAGTGGCTCCGTCGGACCCCCGCGCGCCGCTCGGATCAGAGGTGCCGGGTGCCGTGGACCGATTGCTGCAGCAAAGGTCGGAGGCACAGGCGTTGCAGCAGAGGTCTGAGGCACAGGCGTTGCAAGACCGGTCAGCCCTGCAGAGGTCGGAAGCACAGGTGTTGCAGCAAGGGTCTGAGGCACAGGCGTTGCAGCAGAGGCCCGAGGCACAGGCTGCGCAGGACCGGTCGGTGCCGCAGAGGTTTGAGGCACAGGGGTTGCAGCAAAGGTCTGAGGCACAGGCGGTGCAGCCCAGGCCGGAGGCGCAAGTGTCACAGCAGAGGTCTGAGGCACAGGCTTTGCAGGACCGTGGCGCACAGCAGAGGTCTGAGGCACAGGCTTTGCAGGACCGTGTCGCACAGCAGAGGTTTGAGGCACAGGCGTTGCAGGACCGTGCAGCCCGCCATAAGGGACCGGACCCGATGTCCGGTCAGCCCCTGAGGCTGGACGGGCGTGGTGGCGGTTCGGAGGTGGCTACAACGAGCACGGGGGCCGGGTTCACAGAGGAGCTCGCTGGAGCTACGGCTGCGCCTGTAGTGGCGCCAGCGTTGGTTCCGGGCATGCGATTGCAAGTTCGGATTGATGGCAAGCTTAGGGATATGGTGGTGAATGATAGTGGTGGTCTGGAGGTAGGGCCTTCGCAGTTCTACATTGGAAGTCTCAGAGGAGCATCGCCGCCTCCTCGGGGACCTAGTACCCCTAGGGCCCCGGTTACCACTCCGCCAGCGACCCCTAAGATAGGTACTTTTCCGGCAATGAATTCCACGCCGGGTGGAACGCCCGTTCCTCCTGGACCGGCGCCTACCAGTCCGAGAAACGGGACTCCGACTCCCGTGAAGCCTGAGGAGCCGAGTCGCCACATCACCGAGCTACCGAGCCTGACAGAGCCCAAGCAGCGATCCCAGGGCGCGGTGTTAGCTGGTGACTGGCTTGCAGCCGTGTCCCCGCTGATGAGACAGCTGTCTCCCGGGGCCTTGAGTTGGTGGTCGCAGAATCTCAAAGATGCAAGCGACCTCTACAGCAAATGGCTGAAGGCCACGCCTCATGAGCGACTGAAG